TTCACAAACCCCAAGATTTTGGACCATTTAATCTCGGGGAGTAATTTGGTGATGTCCTCTCCTTCAAAGATTTCAAATCTAGACCTAGCATACCTATCACATTCTGCGAGGAAGTGCCTTGCCGTTTCTTCTTTTATTTAGCAAAAACGGCAAAAGGGTTCTAGCAGAATACCCATGGAGAGGTCTCTTCTCAGAGGGCAGTGGCCCGTCAGAATACCTATCAGCCTCCTAATTCCCTTCCTTGAGTTAGAGAATAGCCATTTTGATTCTGCTGGTTTGATCGCCTTAATAAACTCTTTCGATTGCCTATGTCTGGGGGATAAATTCCACTCCTTAAGGAATTGTTTCATGCCCCAGTTATAGATACTCTCTTTCGCTGTGCTCATAGAGTGTGGTAATACCGGTTGTGGCCCGACAAACGCAGTATGAGAACCTTCTTTGGCCAGGCCATCCGCCTTTTCATTGCCATAGTGTCCTTTATGTGCTGGTATCCAAATAAGGGTTACCTTGTTCTCAAACCTGGAAGAGATCCTATTGATAAGATCTACAGTTTCCTCCACCAGTAGTGAGGTTGACAGATCTTTTTGTAGTGACCTAAGATTAGCCTGACTGTCAGAAAAAATTCTAATATCTTTTCCCTTAATTTTATTTTCCATAAGTGTTCTGCAACACACATTAATGGCCCAAAATTCCGCCTGAAAAACTGAGGTGTTATTACCAAGAGGGGAGGAGATGCTGATTCCTAATTTTGGTATGTATGAATTGTTCAGAAGTTCTATTAAACTGTTTACTGTAATTAACGATAAAAGAGGTGACAAGCAGCCTCTCTGTGGACAGCCTCCTTTGACATTAATTCTGAGAGTGCTACCTATTGACATATTGACCATCCTTTCTTCCAAGTAAGTCTTCACCCTTATAGTAAGGTGATGATCGATATTGTAATGATCTAATGCTGATCAGCATTATCAAACTCCCCTTGGATATCGAAGAAGCAACCTAGTGTATATTCATTATTAAATAATGATTTCTCAATCCTGCCTATCAGCGAATGCAAGGCAGTTTCCACTGATTTTCCTAGTAAATAGGTATGCTGATTGGGATGTATCATTGTATTAATTCCACAATCATGTCTAATATATCTATCCAAACTTTTCTGTATAATTTTTATGAAAATAGAATATATACTTATAGGTCTATACGATTTAGGTAATTGATATGAGACCTTACCTGGTGTGGGTAAGAAACTCTTATCTCTTTCCAGCATTTTGGTATATGTCCTAATGCCAGACTACTCCTTAGGAGATCCCACACTATTCTAGATAGACTAGGTGTATCCGGTTGAAGGAGGGTAGGGAACAAATATTCCATCCACCCCGGCTGTCTTGTATTTCTTGAAGGAATGTGCCGGTATTGTTACAACTTTCTTGTGAAATTCATTACATCTCTAATCAAGTTGACTAATTATCAGCTTAAAATTCAACTTAAGAATAAGTTTCAAACGTGACTAAAGTTAGAAGGGTGACGTTTCTACGAATCCGATATGGTCTTCTGATGGTCGGATATACCGTTGCTGGATTCAATTACCATGAGCTCATCATTTATGTGCATTTAAAAGGAGAGAAGTCACGCCTCGGGTATCATTTAGAATCTAATCGTAATTATCAGCGAGGTTCATCTCTTATTAAACAGTAACCGGAATAGAATAGATCCTCGGGGGATGGATTTTTGGTTCCGACATGAAACTGTTATGATTTATTCTAATCTTAAAAACATTATACGCTTTCGACTCCATAACTAGCAATAACTGTCAATCCCGGCTGTAAAGGTTGTCCTGCGGGATAACGCCAATTAATGTGGTCGTTTCTTTTGAATCCAAGCAACAATTACAACTCTCAAGACAACCGAAATCATTAAATTGCGATAAGTTGAAATCATAAAAGCAAAAGACATCCGATGTCGATTTGAATTGACGAGAAATAATTTAATGCTGTGTGTTCCAGCCGTTTGCGATCTACTTTCTTTCAGAGCGATATCTGATTTATCCTGTTATAAATCAAAATTATTAATCATATTGCCGTTACTCGACCGAATATATGGTTCTGCGATACTATCTAATTTTCAATTTTTCTATTCATAAAAACCATTAATCATGAGTTTTATTTAAATAAACTTATTATTTAAATATCGATATAACGTATTTCCATCTAAATATTAACTTTTATAAGTTCGATAACTTGTAAACTTACCTTACAACAAATAAGTTTCTACCACTATAATAATATCTCAAGGAAGTTAAAAATGTGCCTCGTGATGTTGAGGGCTTCAACAGTTAAAAAAGAATTTCATTTCATACTTCAACAAAACAATCCAAGAACAACTAACGCTACTAACAAACAAGAAAAAGAACTTTGAAAGAAGATGACGAATTAGTAAAAAAGAAAATTTAATAAACGGTATTCAGCATCAAACTTTTAAAAAACAGTATCCGATGAAAGTATAAAATAGACAATATTTTAACATTGTCCTTACTTAGACAATATTGATTAAGAATAGGGAATAAAGATGGTCAGGATTCCAGAATTCTGGGTCTTTTCCGGTTATCATCCAGTAATTCCTTTGTATGTCTTGCGGATGGACCGCCTGTGAATATTTTCGTACCAAAGTTATTTAAAAATCCTCATTGCCTGATTTTTAAAGTAAAAGGTCCCATTCTTGACATTTGGATATGTTTTCAGTTGAATAATAATAACATTTTTAATTAATTATACTTTTAATCTAAGGTCATGGTTCAGGAGAGAAAGCTAGTGTCACGAGCTGGATTCAAACCCACGATCTTCGACTCAATACGCCGCTGCTTAAATTTTCGATCCACTCGGACACCATCTCATCTCAACCTACAACCTTTCAAATTTTCTGTATTTTTGTTATCATCTCAACCAAGGCCTTACATTAAAATTACAATTCATTAACATCGTTCAATTAATTAATCTTTATGTAAGGTATGGGTTGAGATAAAAAAGTCAGTGTCACGAGCGGGATTCGAACCCACGACCTTTGGCTAAATACGCCGCTGCTCCACCACTTGAGCTATTGTGACCTCGATCCACTCGGACACCGACTTCCCACCCCAACCCTACTTTTCAAATTTTCCCTTCTTTTTGCCATTTTTCCGCTCGTGATTTTTTTATCTCAACCCATACCTTACATAAAGATTAATTAATTGAACGATGCTATTTGGTCAATCGGACCACGAAATCTAATGGAATTAATTAAAATAATTAATACGGTCAATTATGACCTCTAAATACATACTTGGATCAAAATAATAACAATATTTATTCCAGAAGTGCAGTTACTTAATTACAGTGCAGTTACAGCGTAGTTACTTAGTTGCTAGTTGCTACTAGCATATCATAGTTGGCAGATGCCGTACTTTCCAATTTAGGACTTCTGATACAACATCCAACAAGACCGTTAGAAAGATTTTCTAAAGAACTTTCCCTTATCTAACGAAAACTGCCTGAAGTACTGTGAAAGTTGCTCGACTTTATTCAACGCCTTTCCACCGCAGAATTGATTCATTTTGTTATTATATATGTAGGGAGAAGACTATTTCTTTGTTTTTAAAAATGGGCCAAGTTCGAAACCCCCTCCAAGAAAAAAAAAAAATAGATATCTACACTGTGGCCAAGTCCGTTCTTTTTTTGGTTCATAACCTAAGAAAACACGAAAAAAAAAAAGTTCTAGACTCCTTCCCTAAAAAGTAAAAAAGTCAGCCTATCAAAGCAGTGATACCTGCATTGTAGCCAACCTGACTTCACTCCTACTTTTATGAACAACACAGTTCTTTTATTTTTATTGGTTAACACTTGGCAAGTTTCTGAATGAGGATTAAAACATCAGGAACTGTTTGCTCACACTGGAGAGGGGGGTTAAGAGTAGGGAACTCACAAAAATATAAAAAAGTTCCTGACTTCTAATTGCTCATTCAGAAAGAAGAAATCAGGGGAAGAAAGCACACGTAGAATCCACGGGGGGGGGATAGTCGGTGCTACGAAAAGCGCAGTCACCAGACAGTGGTTGACACGTTATTCCATATTAACAATATATGAGAAAGTATTTTAGGAGTAATATACTTTTTTAAATAATTGTACATGACACACCGAGTTTGGGTAATGTGAACGTTTAATTGTCGGCCGGTATTCGTAGTGAACTACTAACTCTAATGAAACAATTTTCGCCGCAAAATTTGAATTTTATCCTTTCCTTTGAGCAATCCAATCAAAAATTTATTGAAGTTTCGAAGGACTCGTCAGCATAGCTCAATGGTGTAGTAGCGAATTATTACAATCGAGGGTTCCAGTTCCTGTAATTTTTCGTCTCAACTTGCTTTTCATAATTAAATTTACTATAAAAAAGTAATCATAATAATAATTTAAATATCAATAAAAAACAAAAAAATATTCTTATGAGAGTTTTATTGTGGTTTCCAGTTAACTGAACAAAGCCGGAATATTAAAAATTGATTTTATCCCCTTCTGTGCCTCAAGAAGTACTGCTTATACTAATTAGCCATCATATTTTTACTAAATAAAATTGTTTTCCTGTGAAAGGGGTATTTGTTTTTACTTTCAGAAATTATAACAATGCAAAGGTAATCAGGGAAAGACGGGGTTCAGTTGATTTCGAACGAATTATTTCGTCCAATGTTTAAAGTATACTAAAAACAATCACCTGCCAGAAGAAACACATGTAAGTTAGAGATGAAAATAAACATTCGATATAAAAACAAATTTTATTATAAAAGGAATTATACCATTTTAAATATATTCTAAAAGGTAGATTGTAACGTTATATTGATGTTAAATTGTACACGCTATTGAGCCTGAAATATTGGAATCTTCCACCGGATGCCACGTCTCTGACCGGGCTGGCTTCGAGGAGGCTTTATCTGGTCAGTGAACGTTTTGAGGTCTGCCGGTCGGACTGAGGAATGTCCGATGGGGTGTGGACCGTCTAAGCCTGACGACGAAGATCTAGAGAAACTGCTGAAAAGGGATAAAGTCATCATCTTCACCAAGTCTACGTGTCCGTACAGCGATTTCGTCAAACACATGGTGAACGAGACGGGCGTGAGTTACAAAGTCATAGAGGTCGACGGTAACGATGTCCAACCGGAGACGCTAATGAAGCTCATTAAGTTCACCAAGAACAAGACGGTGCCCCAGGTCTTCGTCAACGGGACGTACGTCGGCGGCATGCTGAAGATAGACAAGCTGCGGGACCGCGGGACGCTCGGCCCTGTCCTCAAAGGTGAAAAAAAACCCGGCTGGTGCTGAAAAGTGTAGCTTGCCGTTCTCCGTCCTCCTGGCCAAAACGGCCTTAGGAAATCGGTGTCGTTTAAACGCCGGCGGAATTCGATAACCTAGTAAGTCAGCAATAAAGAGTTGGTGTATTAAATTTAGACTTTTTTGATTTAGTTATACAAGTCGCAATAACAAAAATTCCCTGCGTTGCTTCTCGTCGAAACAATTGATCACATGCTCACGTCTAGAGTTAAAAATTCTCCTCAACTTTTCCATGTTTATTCTATGATAACATACCTGAACAAAAAATCAATTTTTGAGCTTTTCAAAGTTCAAAATATTGATTCATTGCTTGATCTACCTTTTCAAGGCTATTCATTCAGTCAGCCAAGTAATTACTAAGTACTCTAAATAAATACTTTTGCCGTTTGTATACAGTATGTCGGCAAATCGCATCACAAACTTTGACAGAGAATCACACTACTAGAGAGACAAAAAGTTTTCAAAAAAGTGGTAAATTCATTCAAATACTTCGGCGTCATTGTGACTCCTCGCCTCTCCTTTAATATTCACATTCAAAGAGTGTTTTAAATTTTTTTATTTTTCTCCTTGTAGGTAACCGTTAAAAGGAAGTTTATTTAACACTTAATTTAACCCCCTTGAGATTGTGGGATTATTTTACATTTATTTATACTTTGTATATTTTAATTTTGTACATTTTTGGTATATTATTTTATTGAAATTTACTTTAACAATTATTATTAACTTATATAAAATTTGTTTTCGCAAAACTTAAAACTTCTAAACCAAAGAGCGTACGTTTTATGTTTGCCGTGGGTGTTTTAAAATTTATTTGGATGCCAGTTGTTACTTTATCTTAGATAGAACTAAAGAAACTTTTTGTCCATTCCCCCTTATTGCTGTTTTCCCATTCTTGATTCCATTTTTCGATTGCCCTTTTTCTAATTTGTTTCTGGAGTTCGGAAATAGTCTTTCTTTCCATCTCAGGTGTCAACGTCGCTTCTTTAGCTTTTTGATCGGCTATTTCCTTTTACCCAGGATATACCTATTTTCCATCTTTTATGTTTTATTAATTCGGACATGCTCTTCCTGATCTGCACTGGCAATAGAAATGGTTTTTGTAATTTTTTATTTCAGCCAATAAAAGTTGGCATTCAGTCTAAATTCGGACTGTTTTATTCTTTTCCTCCTCTTCCTTTATTATCAGCCATTCCAAAGGTTGCAGAATCACCAGCAGGTCAGCCTGATTGAGCAGTCTTCCGATAGATTGTTTTGTGTAGGAAGATTGGTTCTTCTGATTCTTGTGTCAATACCCCTGCAGCACATTCTACACTGTTGTTGAATTTACTTCCGTCTGTAAATATGTCAAAGTAGCTGCTGTTCGTTGCAGATTAGCGCTTACAGTTTTTGACGGATGATCTCATTTTTCTACAGGTATTGGCATGTCTAATTCTTTTTCCTTTATTTTCTTAAGATGTTATATAACTCTGATATTTTCTCCAAGAGTAATCTAGAGGAGGTGTACCAGATGTTATACGTGAGGCTTGGAAGGGGATGGTTCGGTATCCCTTCATGATCCTGAGTAGCATTAACCTTTGCTTATTCGGAAATCATGCCGACTAGTGTGACGTAGGTTTCAGAAAAATATTTTTTTTATCGTGCCAACGTTTCGGTCTTTATTGAGATCATCTTCAGCGCTCAAAGTGTTTGTTTTCTGCGTAGAATAATCATAGACTAACTGTCACTAATCACCACACATTAATCTTTAAGTCCTTCGCAGTCTCTTTCGGTTACATTGGTGTTTGATTGCATTTATCCAAATCGGCGCCGCATGAGATAAGATTGGTACTAGGGCTCTTTTATATATTTTGTCAAAATTTATTCAAATCAAAAGTTATTCTTTTATTCAAGAGAGAGTGTGCAGCGCTAAAATGGTCGAGCTGGTTACTCATAACTTGTGTCTTTTTCTCACAAGTTCACTCTTTTTAATGCGGCTGTCGATCATTCGCTTGTGGTGATATCATTCGGCTCAGGTTTGGGGATTTGCTCTCAGGTATGATAAATAACGAGCAATTATTGCGTTTTTGTTTTATTAAAAACTATATGCTTTATCTTGAGACCGATGCAGACGTTCTTTTAGTTTCCACGTTGAAACCCCATTTTTTGTATGTGCTGAGATTAGTCGTCTTGCCTCCAGATTTCCTAGAGATCTTGCGATTGAGGTTTTGAAGATTTTTTTTTGGTTTCAGAGTTGGTTGAATCTTTTTGAAAAATACCGTTGCGACTTGAGTCTTTCATTAAATGTATCTCTCTGGAAAAACCAACTATCAAATTTAATATTAAAGATGGGAATAATACATCGGGAAGGGTCTTTGGCGAACGATACTCGATTCTGTTGGTTCACCTTCTACAAACAGCCGGCCATTGAATGTAAATTATTTTCATTCAGGAATGAAGGGCCGATTAACTTGAGGGATCTGTGTCTTTTTAAAATGAGGGATGAATAAATGCCTAAATTTCACCCCATGGGTTGAAAGAAGAGTTGAGTTATTGTTGTGTAACATAAAAACAAGGTAGGATGTGGTTTATTTTTGGCTATATGTCCAAAGTTAGTAGAATTCAGAATGCGACACCTTGGCAGTCTGTTCTTTAACAGAAACAAAATTAAAAGAAATGCTAACAACTGTAGACAGTTTGAATCTTGTAAATTATACCCGCACCGCTGGGCGTTACGGATATTATTTGGTTAATGAATTTAATTATTAATTTCTATCTTATTTTATAGTATTGTGGATCATATTAAACATTCTTTTATGATATATATGTTTTTATTTTAACTATTTTTTCAATATTTTTTAANTCTAAGTTTTTCATATAATATAAATATATTTTTTTTATTTACACGTAAGATCATAAGGTAATTCTTGTTTGTATACTGGGTATTCAACTACTCATGTTACAAACTTAGTCCTGATTAGTTAGTTCCTAATCTCAACAGTTTCGGAGTTATGCCCTTTTTTCTGATTTTTTAAGATTTCACAACCTTACTTCAACTAAACAATGATAACTCCAAAACAGAAAGGTTTTCGACAAATCCATTGATACCATTGAAATATTTACCAACACGACTGCAACTTAAATTAAAGGATTATGGTATTATTATTCCCCGGAATAAAAGAGTTTTAAGATTCAAAACGTTTTTATTTCATTCAATCAAAATTTCCTTAAGCTTTTTTTTAAAATTATTATTATTCTTTCCATCTTATCTATTCGTGAACCATGGTTTTTACCTTACCTTCATCAATTTCTTCATCTTTGAAAAAAATTAAAAAAGCAATTACACCTCTATAAAGGATAGTTACGTACACCTCTATAATGGAGTACGTTTTCTGAAATTTGCTGGACTCTAAGTTTGAAAATAGTAGTTTAGAATCACCGTAGTAAGTTTTTCAACAATGAAAAAAACATATTTTTCAATGTTCTGGCTACTAAAATGCTTATTTCACCAATGTTTACAAGTTTACTATTGCACACATCCCATTTGAAATTTAACAAAGTTTTCAATGGTATCAACGGATTTGTCCGAAACCTTTTAGTTTTGAAGTTATCAATGTTTATTTGAAGCAAGGTCGTGAATTCTTAAAAATCAGAAAAATGGGAATAACTCCGAAACTGTTGCGATTCGGACCATAAGTTAATTTGGGCTTTTTGGGCCCATTTTGAATGTAGAATCTACTGGCAAAGTTTGTAACCGAGTTGCCGAACACCCTGTATAATCCCAGTTCCTTCTGACGAAACTCAGCGAATCGATTCTACCCTTCGTTTGGAGCAAAAAATGCTCAGGAGAAAATTTTCGGAAAGTTCTCTATTTTGAAGATATTCATCAATTTAGGGGTTTTCAACTTTTCACTACCTTACCACATAAAAACGCTTACAACTTACAAAATGTTGAGACTACAACACATCCAATTACACCATTTGAAAGAACGCTAAATTTGCTGTAAGATACTTCTATTTGCAATAATCTGAATGACATAAAATGCTAGCCAATATCAGTTGGAACATGTCAAAATTACAAATTTAAAATTTTAGTCATGATAGCACGTTCTACTGAGGGTACAAAAAAATACCTACAACTTGTCAAATTTCACAAAAACTTCTTCATCTAATATGTTTTACGTTGATTTTTCAACTCTACTAGAACGTTATTTAAAAACCTGGATATATCAACGTAAAGCATATAAGATGAAGAAATTTGAAATCATATTCAGGGCCTGGCATTTGCAAACTTTGTTTAAATTTAACAAAAACATGTAGGATGAGGAAAAAAGTGAATTTAAACAATGCAAATAAATATTTTTTTATATTCAATCAAAGTATTTCTACTCACACAGTGTTGTAGAGAGTAGAAATACTTTGATTTAATATATATTAAAAAAAAATTATTTGCATTGTATAAATTCACTTTTCCACATCCTACATGTTTTTGTTAAATTTAAACAATGTTTGTAAATGCCTGGCCCTGAAGATGATCTCAATAAAGATCGAAACGTTGGCACGATAAAGAAAATGTTTTTCTGAAACCTACATCTCACCACCCGCATCTCACGATTTCTGAATAATCATTTTTAACATCATTAGATTTCGTGGTCCGATTGACCAAATAACTTCTTTCAAATTAATCTTTATGTGAGATATTGGTTGAATGTAAAATATATGATAAAGGTTTTGGTTGAGATAAATTAATATTTTAGGAGAAATGAGGTCCTTTATGGAATAAAGCTATGAAAAGTTCTAAGTGAAGTATCTCGATTAAAATTGAGAATCAGATTTTGAACAATAGGGACTTTTTATTCCATTTGACATATAGAATAATCTAAAGTATTGGCACCTGTTCATTGTTGTTTGACACCCTGTATAGTGATGCTTTAATTTTCTGAGTACCCTAAGATTTTTGGATGTTTAATGCATGACTCGCTTAATAGGTGCAAAGGATTTTTTTAAACAAAAGG